CCGCAGGCAATTGTGTTGAGCCCGTGGCAGCAGCGCTGCATCTCGTCCACCAGCAGCATTGCCTGGAGAATTACTGTTGGAAAAGAAGTCCCGGCTGGATACATTTGCAGGTGTGCGCGCATAGGCAACACGCGTGGATGTGTATGCCCACAAACGTATGCATGTTTGGTGTATGCGCGCACGTACCCAATACGCCAGTTTGTTATTTACTCACGCATACACGTCGGCTTTTCCTAAAGGACTGACAAGATGCATGCATGCATGTGTATGCATTGCTACAAGACTGCGTCGATGCGTCGCTCTCTAACTTTCCGACGCGGAAGGGCATAACCTTGCACCAGGGCTGAATACCACATCCTTCTATCCATACGACCGGCTACGGAAACCATTGGGCCACACAAAATTATTTTGCTTCGAGCGATCCCCACCAAAACCTTCGGCGTTTGTTCCCGACGGTGCGCGCGCCTACTCCAACGATGCGCGCAAAGTCCGTTTGTCTCGTTCAACGCGGCGACGGAGCCGCCTTGAAACTTGCGTTGTCCTACAATCCAACAGCCCCAGGTTGCCAAAGGAGGAACGACCCTCACGAAAGAAACCGAAACGAACCCTGGGGCGAAAAAGCAAAACCCCAAAACGCGTGGCTTGAACGAGACCCCAGAGCTTCTTCGAAGAGAACCTGCAACCTGTTGAGAGCACGGGGAGGCTATATTCTGGTCGATTGGATTCTGCCCCAGCGTAGTAGATGACAATATGTTCTGCTATGTTCTGTTCGGGACGGGCCGGAGTGACATCGTGGCGCCTGTCGCGTTAGATAGGTTGTCCAGACGGTCGTTGCTACGCCTGTTTTTTCTTGTGGTCAGCCAGACCTCGTCGCGAACGTCGTGCTGGATAATATCATGTTGCAATCGACTATGTTATGATGTTCGTTTGATGAGACGCCTTGAATTGGCGGCTGCTGCAAAATATGTTGATACTTTTTGTTCGCTTGGGTTCACCCCCGATGAGAGTAAATGAAAGCATGTTCTGTTGCGTTCTGTTCTGGACAGGCCGCCGTGACGTCGTGACGCCTTTTACGTTTAATATGTAGCTGATCGGTCGTTGCTGTCACCGTGGGTTCCCGTGGCCAGCGTGAGCTCGGCGCGCACATCGTCACGGTCATTATTCGATCTCTGCTGTAGTCTACTCTGTGACGTTATGTTCGGTTGTGTTCTGTTCTATTCACATATGGTGTGTGTTCTATTATGCTGCAGCCGGGGCAGCGTGACGTCGTGACGCCTATCCCGTTTGATCTGTCGCCTAATCGGTCGTTGCCGTGCCTGTTGTTGTCCTGTGGCCAACCTGACGTCGGCGCGGCTGCTGCGCTTGTACGGGCGTCACTCATCGGTCGTTGCCGTATGTAACAGCACTCAACGCTGCTATACCCCATCAGGCTCTACAGTCAAAAACCATAATAAGGACGCGCGGAAAGGACGCAAGACCCTTGGAAGCCGAAGTTGGGATTTTTGGGGCGGCGGACGACGAAAACCTCAAGGACGCAAGAGCAAGGATGAGCAAGGACGCAAGGGTACCCTGAGCAAAGTCGCGCGTCCTTATTAGGGTTTTTGACTGTACAGGCTCGGAAACAGATTGTCCTCACGCCACACCGAGGCCCCGACAGCACCCGAAACGCGAAGGAAGCCTTCTGCGCCCAACCTCGTCCGCCTCAGCGGGCGCGCGGTCCACACTTTTTGATTCGCGGGTCGAGAGCGCACCTCTTCCGGTCGAAGCTAAGCGGGCCGCGCGAAACTTGAACTAATCAGAGATGGGGAAGGAAAACGGGGGCGCGACCTCAAAACGAGGCCGGGAGGAGGCAAAGCCCCAGAATCAGGCGGTGCCGAAGCCGACGTACTTGCAGGGCACGCGGTCCGCACGCCCCCCCCATAAATTCTAAACGGAGTTCCGCCTGTAGAGGCCTCCTAGATGGGGTCGGCGTAGATAGGGTCGGAGAATCGCGCCGCATAGCCGATACATCGGCGATGCAACGGCGATGCATCGGCGATGCACCGGCGATACGTCGTCGACGTCGGCGATGCATCGGCAACGTCGACATGGAGCAAGTCGGGCTCCACATCGAGCCGCATCGGCGGGCGATGCATCGGCGATGCGGCGCGATCCTCCGACCCCATCTACTCGGACCCCATCTAGGAGGCCTAGAGCCTGCGGGGGGGGGAGAGGGCCCGGGGTGACCCGCTCCTTCAACAACAATTCCAGTGAGGAGAATGGATGGAGGCTGGTTTGGGCGATTCTGCTTGGGACATCCTCAACATCTCGCCATCGCTCGGACGTCCATTCCCTGTGTTTTTTTCAGTTTCGTGCGTGGATTTTTCGCCAAATGATCAAGGATGGTCCTCGATGGTCCTCGCCGACGGAAAAATGCACACGTCCGAGCGATGCCAAGACATCTGCCTGGTTTCATCTCTGGTTTGGCCTGGTTTGGCTCCGCGCCCCGCCCGAGACAGCCCCAAAGTTTGCCGAGTTTGGCACCTGGTTTGTCCTGGTTTGGAGATTCGTCGGACACGTACTCAACACTTTCCTGGTTTGGACCTGGTGTGACCTGGTTTTGGCCAGGTCTCTCCTGAGACATCCTCAAGATTTGCCTAATGGCGCCCTGGTTTGGCCTGGTCTGGCCTTGGTTTCGCCTGGGACGTCCTCACACACTTCATGGTTTGGCCTTGTTCTGGCACGGTTACGGCCCAATTTTGCTTGACACGTCCTCAATATATGCCAAATGTCTCCTTTGTTTGGTCGCTTCCGCTATGGTCACCATGCGGCTCCAACACACACTGGGATGCGTCACGTTTTCTTCGAACCTGACTGGTGAATTAACACACGTCGTGCCGGGCGTGTACAAACCGAGATAATGGCATGGTGTCATGGATAGCCATTGTAGCCCACATGTAACACGACTGTACTTCAAAATGGCGGGCGGCATTGATATGGACGATCCCAGCACGCTGTGGGTCGGCACGTGCGTGTGTGGCGGCGTTCGGAGAAAACCCTTCCGACGCTGTAGTAGACTACACTGTACTGCAATATGCTGTGTCCTCGACGGGCCGGCGTGACGTCGTGACGGCTGTCACGCTAGTCACGTCGCCCAACCGGCCGCTGCTGCGCCTGCCTGTTCCTGTGCGAAGCCTCGGCGCGCAGGGCGTCCTTGAGTATAAGATGCTGCGGTCGATTATGTGAAGATGTTCTGTTGAAATTTGATGAAGCGGCGTGAGTTGGTAGCCCTGTATGATACTGTGATAGATTATGTTCGCCTAGATTCTGCCCCAGCGTCGTACTGTTCAGTAGTGTCATGTACGGTACAAGACACTATTGTATGGTAAGTTCTGTTCTGGACGGGCCAGGGTGACGTCGTGGCGGCTTTCGCGTTAAATCTGTCGTCTAAACCGTCGTTGCTGCTACTGTTTGTTTCTGTGGCCAGTGGGCTCGGCGTGCATGTCGTGTGTATTGTAGGACGGCGTGAGCGGGACTCTACAATATTCTACTCAAAGACGTGATGCTCTGCTCTGTTCTATTCACATTCGGTTGGTTCTGTTCTGCTCTCGACGTGGCGGCGTGACGTCGTGACGCCTGTCACGTTTGATCTGTCGTCTAATCGGTCGTTGCTGTGCCTTCTGTTGTCCTCTGGCCAACCTTCTGTCGGCGTGGATGTTGCGCTTGTCACGGCGCCATTAACCGGTCGTGGCTGTATTCAACAATGCTCAACTATGTTATATCCCATCAGGCTCTAGTATGTTATACTGTTTTATATGTTATGCTGTGTTCGTGGCGGGCTGGCGTTGCGTCGTGACGCCTGTCACGTTAGACACGTCGTCCAATCGGTCGTTGCTGCGCTTGTTTGTTCCTGTGGCCAGCCTGGCCTCGGCGCCCTCATCGCGCTTGATTATCCAGTTGCGCTGCCACTCGATTCCGCCACCGCGCTTGGGCGGGCGGAGGGGCGGGAGCATCTGCGCGGGGAGGGGGGAAGGGCCGTGGACCCCGCTCCCCGCGGTCTCTGCCTTCGGGACCACTGTCTGCCTGGAAGGCTAAAACGCAGGGACCTGGTCACACAAGTGAAAGCAATTTGGGCTCGATGCGTCGGGTGGCCCTACTTATTGCTTCGCAAAAGGCGGACAAGCCCGACGCACAACAACCGCTACAAAAGCGGGGTGGCGGACATTAAGATACGGCCGATTACATGTTGACTCCCCTCTTCAGTGGTGAACCACTCTCTGATGATAGCATAGAAAACGTGATGGGCTGCTCTGTAGTAAGATGACTTGTTATGTTGGATCGTGTTGGTTTAATATGAGATGTTCTGTTATGATGAGGTCGCTGTACGCTTTCACTTACGTTATGCCATGGTCTGCTCATGCTATGGTAAGCATATTGATCTATGTTAGTGTTGCATGGTAGTCGGTGTCGCGGTGGCCACGCTATGCTGGTCACGGTGGGCCCTGTCAATTAAAATACATGGGTTGTCTTCGTAGTAGGCAGCGGACATCTAGCATGGCCCCTGATGGGGGGAACCGTTCTGATATACACTAGTATGCACCGTTGTGTCATGCAATGGGTGGCTAAATTCTGGTATTATCGAGTGAGTGTTATGTGTGGCTGTATTAGGTAAAGCTGTGGTATGGCATGGTATGATATGTCATGGTGTCTCATGCTATCAGACTACATAATATGTCGCGCTGTACGATGGTTTTAAGTGTTGTGTTGTGGTTTGTTATGTTTTGTGACGCCGCGTTCTGCTACAATGCGCGATGGTACTCCATGGTATGGCATGGTCTGCATGTTTCGCAGTCACAGCACGTGTTGTTTTGCTATTGTATGCAATAGTATGTGATGATTGTGGCATGGTATGTAATGCTATGTTGTGATCTGTGTTATTAGTTGTGCGTCATGCTGACAGGGGCGGGAGTCCCGGGGATTCTCGGTGGCCCTGGGGATCTGGCGGCCGCGGTATACGGCCTGGGCGGGTCGGGAGGTCTGTTCTTAAAATCTACAGACCGCTACCTGTCGGGTGGAGGATCATCATATCTTGGGGGTGCATCCGCATCCTGTGTTGTGGAGGCCTCAAGAAGCTTCCAAGAGGCCCTCCTAGCGGTCTCCAGAAGACATGCAAGAAGTCTCTGGTCCACAACTCACGCACGGTGTCTGGGTGGGCTTCCCTCCAACAAGAAGAATGGCATCAGTGCGGCCCCCAGCAGCAGGGACGGGGATAGGTGTCGCCGCCCTCGTTGTCGCTGTCGGCGTCGTCGTCGTCGTCGTGGCTGTCGTCGTCGCCGTCGTACTCCTCGTCGCCGTCGCCGTCGCCGCCGCCGCCGCCGTCGCCGCCGACGCCGTCATCGTCGGCGTCATCGGCGTCGGCGCCGCCGCCGTCGTCGGCATCGTCGTCGGCGTCGGGGCCGCAGCCTTCGTCGTCGGCATCGTCGTCGTCGGTGTCGTCGCCGAGGGCCCGCACGCCCCGAGGGGACTGGCGGCCTGCTGCCACCGCCCGGCGGCTTCGCAGGCGAACAGCGCAGCGCCGAAGCCGTGCGGGCCCACCCGTTCAGGACCGGCGCGCGCGCGGGCGAAGAGGGCCAGCGCCAGCGCCCATCGCGAGGCCCTGACCTGTGACGGCGCGGACCATGTCACGAGCGGCGACCACATCCAGATCCACGCCCTCGCGGTCCCGGGGCGCGGTCCAGCGGATAGGCGGCTCGGTAGCACGAGTATGTTCCGCGCGGGACATCCGCCGAACAAAACGCCCTGTATTCGCGGGGTCTCGGCCCAGAGATCCGGCCCGCGACGCGGTGGATGCAAATTTGCTTTTCGCCCGCGAACTCGGTCTCCCGTCCTCCAAACACTGCGCACCGAAGGTCGCTCTGGTGCAGGGCCACTCCTACGTGTGGCCGATTTGGCTTTACCGTGCCCCCCCCCGCTGCGTCATGAAATCTCAGCTTTCTGGGCGCAGGTGGTCTAACGATGATTTTCTTTCCTCTTCCAAAAACCATTTTTTCCGTTCGGGGGGGGGTTTGCCACTATTCCCTATTCATATACACCCCCTCCCCCAGGCGACTGGGAGCCAACCCGAATCAATGAGGGCACCCCCCCACCATCTTTTGTAAAAACATTCCAAAACACACTCAACCTCCAAATTCGGAGCATGCGCAGCGAACCCGATGCGCCCCCCCGCCCCCCACCATCCTTGTCAAAAAACTATACAGACTACACTTGGCGGCGGCGGCGGCTGCGGCGGCTGCGGCGGGGGCAACGGCTGCGGCGGCTGCGGCGGTGGCGGCGGCGGCGGCGGCGGCGGAGGCGGCGGCGGCGGCGGCGGCGGCAGCGGCGGCGATTCAGCAGCGGCGGCTGCGGCGGCGGATGCGGGCGGCGGCGCGGTGGCGGTGGCGGCGGCGGACAGCGGCGGCGGCGGCGGCGGCGGCGGGCGGCGGCGGCGGCGGCGGGCGGCGGCGGCGGCGGCGGCGGCGGCGGCGGAGGCGGCGGCGGCGGATTGGCCCCCAGTAGCTGCCCATCCAAAGACGACTGCTCGGGCCAGGTCGGGTGCTACGTATGTGTTGGGAAGCGGGTGGGAGTGAGCGAGACGGCTTGCGGGAGGGGAGGGAGTCTTCATCACTGCTCCCTATTAATAAATACCCCCTCCCCTAGGCGACTGGGGGCCAACCAGGGACCATGACGACCCCCCACCACCATCCTGTGTAAAAAACAATACGAAACACACTCTGCCTCCAAATTCAAAACATGCGCAGCCAACCCGACGCGGCCCCCCCCCCATCATCCCTGTCAAAATTATCCCGGCAAAGCAACATAACAGCGATGTGTAGAAGCATATCTGAAAGCATTCCCCTTAAGATTCAGATGAAAATCCAGTTGTAGAATTTTTTTTTACCATGGAACGAATTAGAGCAAGGGATGGGATCAGCCCGCAGGCCGTGAGGGGAGAACGCCACGTCCACCAGACTGCACGCCTAAAACCGCGGATAGGCCGGTACACCCAAAGTGAGGATGTCAATCTTATGTTGTTCCGGCATGCCCGCCACGCGTGAGAATACAAATGTCACGGACTCGGTGCGCGGGCGATTTTCCGCCACTGCTTAGGAGAACACTCTCCCAACAAAACGCGGCCCGCTTCCTGCCGCGGGGGGTGTAGGGAAGCGGAGGGAGGAAAGGAGAAGGAGGAGGGAGTGAAGCCAGCTAGCCAATGATACGAATCTTCCTCTGGCCTGCCGAGGCGTTGCGCGGCAGACCCCTTACTGAATGGCCTAGTCGGCCGACCCAGTAAAACCCACACAATAAGAGACTAGAGGAAACGTATCATACCCCAATGGCTGCAGAGAAGCTGTGAAGCTATCGGCCCCCAGGCCGAGCGAAAGCAGAAATGCTGACAGCGCAAGTGTAAGTGCAGCGATGCGCGAGACCAGTGGGCAGACCAGGCCCGGGGAGAGGGGAGGAGAGAGCGAGGAGGAAGGGAGGACAGGAGGGGGGAGGGAAACGCGAACGCGCGGCCGAGCTGGCGCGCCGAATTACGACCGAATGGAGAATACAAAGATCTTTCACAAACAACTACACTAAATGATGTCGAGATGGCGTTCTAGCTTGCAGGCGCGGGTCTTTTCAAAACGATTTGGACGAGGTGCCGGGCTTTCGGGTGACCCCGGGCCGCATCGCGAATAAAACCGCGGAATGCCGCTTGCCCGTCGGCGCCCGGGAGACCATGCCTTATCGCATTGTGCGTCTTGTACAACGCGTACACACCTATCGCCCAGAGGGCCGCCGCAGTAGCCGTAGCGTGCTGGTCCTGGCAGTGTGCTGGGAGCGACTGCGCGTACGGGCGAATGCCTAGGAAGTCACATAAGCAGTGCTCAGCCGGTGGCCGGCTCAGCCCGAGACACTGACGACAGAGGGAGCGAAACGCACTGCAGAAAGCGTAGTGCTGCAGGCTGTCCTCCCCGCGGGTGCAATTCAACACGCAACGGCCCGAACGGCCGAAACGGCGTGCCGTGATCCAACCGTTCCAAGCGGTCCTGATTTGGCAAGCCTGCACACGAGGAGGGAGGAGGGGCGAGGAGAGGGCGAGGACGTTGATCCACCGTGCTGGGCGGCGGCCCGGCAGTTGTAGAATTATGCTGTTCTCGCAGTCGTAGTCGCATTCGCGATGATAGTCGCAGCGGCAACGGCAGTCGCAGTCACAGCCTCAACCTCAGCCTGCCTCAGCCTCAGCCTCAGCCTGCCTCAGCCTCAGCCTGCGCCTGCTTCAGCCTCAGCCTCAGTCTGCCTTCAGCCTCGGCCTCAGCCTCAGCCTGCCTCAGCCTCAGCCTGCATCGGCCTCAGCCTCAGCCTCAGCCTGCCTCAGCCTCAGCCTCAGCCTGCCTCAGCCTCAGCCTCAGTCTGCTTCAGCCTCAGCCTCAGTCTGCCTTCAGCCTCGGCCTCAGCCTCAGCCTGCCTCAGCCTCAGCCTGCCTCGGCCGCAGCATCAGCCTCAAAATGTGGCCTCAGCCTCAGCCTGCCTCAAAATGTGGTTGGGAATGGAGTTCTGGGAACTCGAAGAGCACGAAGTGGCCTAGAGTTGGCTCCGGGCATTCAAAATGTGGCCCGGGAATGGAGTTCTGGGAACTCGAAGAGCACGAAGTGGCCTACAGTTGGCTCCGGGCATTCAAAATGTGGCCCGGGAATGGAGTTCTGGGAACTCGAAGACCACGAAGTGGCCTACAGTTGGCTCCGGGCATTCAAAATGTGGCCCGGGAATGGAGTTCTGGGAAGTCGAAGAGCACGAAGTGGCCTACAGTTGGCTCCGGGCATTCAGAATGTGGCCCGGGAATGGAGTTCTGGGAGGTCGAAGAGCACGAAGTGTGTGACTGTTGGCTTAAAACGACTTCTGCGGCACCCTGTCCGGCACCCGCCCAGACCCCCCTGTGGAGTCATCTGCTGCTCTCTTTTAAGTCTACTTGAAACCTATCAGTCTTCGCTGTTAGGTAAAAACCATACAGAGTACACTTGGCGGCGGCGGCGGCGGCGGCTGCGGCGGCTGCGGCGGCTGGCGGCGGGCGGCGCGGCTGCGGCGGCGGCGGCGGCGGCGGCGGCGGCGGCGGCGGCGGCGGCGGCGGCGGCGGTTCGGCAGCGGGGCGGCGGCGGCGGCGGCGGCGGCAGGCGGCGGCGGCGGCGGCGGCGGCAGGCGGCGGCGGCGGCGGCGGCGGCGGGCAGCGGCGGCGGCGGCGGCGGCGGCGGCGGCGGCGGCGGCGGCGGCGGCGGCGGATTGGCCCCCAGTAGCTGCCCATCCAATGACGACTGTTGAGGGGAGGGGGTAGGGGGAGGGAGTCTTGATCACTGTTCCCTATTAATAAACACCCCCTCCCCCAGGCGACTGGGGGCCAGCCAGGGACCATGCCGACCCCCCACACCACCATCGCTTGCACAAAATTATCCCGGCAAAGCAACCTAACAGCGATGTGTAGGAGCATATCTGGAAGCATTCCCCTTAAGATTCAGATGAGAACCCAGTTGTAGAATTCTGCTGTTCTCGCAGTCGTAGTCGCATTCGCGATGAGCAGTCACAGTCACAGCCTCAGCCTGCCTCAGCCTCAGCCTGCCTCAGCCTCAGCCTCAGCCTGCTTCAGCCTCAGCCTCAGTCTGCCTTCAGCCTCGGCCTCAGCCTCAGCCTGCCTCAGCCTCAGCCTGCATCAGCCTCAGCCTCAGCCTCAGCCTGCCTCAGCATCAGCCTGCCTCAGCCTCAGCCTCAGCCTGCCTCAGCCTCAGCCTCAGCCTGCTTCAGCCTCAGCCTCAGTCTGCCTTCAGCCTCGGCCTCAGCCTCAGCCTGCCTCAGCCTCAGCCTGCCTCAGCCTCAGCATCAGCCTGCCTCAGCATTCAAAATGTGGCCCGGGAATGGAGTTCTGGGAACTCGAAGAACACGAAGTGGCCTACAGTTGGCTCCGGGCATTCAAAATCATGCCCAGGAATGGAGTTCTGGGAACTCGAAGACACGAAGTGGCCTACAGTTGGCTCTGGGCATCCAAAATGTGGCCCGGGAATGGAGTTCTGGGACCTCGAAGAGCACGAAGTGGCCTACAGTTGGCCCCGGGCATCCAAAATGTGGCCCGGGAATGGAGTTCTGGGAAGTCGAAGAGCACGAAGTGGCCTACAGTTGGCTCCGGGCATTCAAAATGTGGCCCGGGAATGGAGTTCTGGGGACTCGAAGACCACGAAGTGGCCTACAGTTGGCTCCGGGCATTCAAAATGTGGCCCGGGAATGGAGTTCTGGGGACTCGAAGAGCACGAAGTGGCCTACAGTTGGCTCCGGGCATTCAGAATGTGGCCCGGGAATGGAGTTCTGGGAGGTCGAAGAGCACGAAGTGTGTGACTGTTGGCTTAAAACGACTTCTGCGGCACCCTGTCCGGCACCCGCCCAGACCCCCCTGTGGAGTCATCTGCTGCTTTCTTTTGACCCCACTAGAAACCTATCAGAACAAGCTGTTAGGTAAAAACAATACAAAACACACTCTGCCTCCAAATTCGGAACACGCGCAGCCAACCCGATGCGGCCCCCCACCACCATCCCTGTCAAAAAAATATCCCGGCAAAGCAACCTCACAGCGATGTGTAGAAGCATATCTGAAAGCA